GGGACAAGTCTATTAAATAAATAAATAAATAAAAAATTCCCCACCAGAGGTTCAAGCTGCAAGTTTCTAGCAGTATTTTAATTCAGCAAAAGGTCAGGTGACAGTAAATCATCATTCTTAGAAAGTATTTGTGAATTTTCAACATGTCACTTGCTACATTTATCGGCTCTGGTCTTAGTCATAAGCAAAGATCTTCCTCCCATAAATTTCCTTTAAAATGGGCTTTATCTGTTTACAAATATGTCATGAGAAATAAAAAAAGATCCTGAGAATTATTTTAGTTAAAGCTACAATATATGGGCTGAAAAGATGTGAATGACCACTAGGTGGCAAGAAACAGAGTTCTAGATATCCATGCCAAACAAATGGACATCTGGATTGTCTTATTTTAGTAATTTAACCAAATAATAAGAGAAACAGAAGGTTCTGCTTTCTCTTGAGAACAGTCTTGCAATGAACCTTACTTTAAATATGAATAAAGGCTATCCAAAGATCAACTGTTCACGAGACAAAATGCTGAAGTAAAGACCTTTTTTAAAAAAATCATTATTATTTACATCAGTTTTATATTTTCAGGACACCAATGGCACCAGAGAATGCATGGAGCGGTCTGACTATCTGGAAAAATATTACCTTCCTACCATGTATGCTCTTGAGTTCATCGTTGGTTTCACTGGAAACATTATTGTTGGTTTCGGTTCACTTTTCTGCTGGAAGAACTGGAAAAGTGGCAACATCTACCTGATCAACTTAACCCTGTCAGATTTAGCTTTCCTTTGCACACTCCCATGGCTGGTGTTAAGTTATTCCAAAGGAACAGATAACAGCACGTGGTGCCAAATTAACAGAATTATCCTGCATGCCAATTTATATACAAGCATCCTTTTCCTGACCTTTATAAGTGTTGACAGGTATCTGCTCATAAAGTATCCCTTCAGAAACCACTTTCTACAGAAGAAAGCCATAGCCATTGTTTTCTCAGTAGCCATATGGGTCTGGGTTATCCTGGAACTGTCCCCCATATACTACTTCATCAGCTTTCAGAATAACAGCAATGATAGCCAGTGTGTGGATTACGCAAGTTCAGGAGATGCACACCACAGCCTGATCTATAGCCTGCTCTTGACCATCACTGGGTTTATAATCCCGTTGTGCATCATGTGGATGTTTTACATAAAGACTCATGCTCTCCTTACCAGCCACAGTTCACAGCTCACCACTGCTCTGCCTCTAGAGAAACCTCTCACATTAATCATCATGGCAGTGGGTATCTTTTCACTTCTCTTTGCTCCCTATCACATCATGCGCAATGTTCGAATTGCCTCTCGGGCATCATTCTGGAAGGTTTCTGAATGCACACAGAACCTGATTAAAGCTGTTTACACGATTACGAGGCCTGTTGCCTTCCTGAACAGTGCAATTAATCCCATCTTTTATTTCTTAATGGGAGATCACTTCAGGGAGATGCTCTTGATCAAAGCAAGGTGTTGCTTAAAAAGAGTTCTACCTTGCTATAAATGAAGTTTCAATGAAGACTTTGGACAGATAGGGAACACATTAAATTGCTAGTTAATGGGATGCAACATATAATTTTTATTAAGAATTTGCCAGTTGTCCAGGAACTTGTATTGAAGTGGCTTCTGAATGTGGACATCAAATTCTATAGTTCTCTTCAAGCATTTCTTCCAAGTGTGAAGTTCTGTGGCACATATTTGGATCTTGTTGTGTGGGGAGAAGCTAAGACAGCGTCTGAAGCTTAAAGTGGCATCAGTTTCGTCTGGTACATCAGCAACATCCTTTTCCAGAAAGAAATACTCTTGAAATGGTATTCCATACTCAGGGAACATTCAAGCTGGATTACTGTGGTGTATTATATTGCATGTGGGGCTGTCTCTGAAAAGAAATTTAAAATTGTGCATAATATAGCTGCCAGATTTAACTAGAGTGGAGACATTTTAAAAAATCTACACCCAAAGAGATTGGGTGGGCAATTTATCTGAATTTCTATATTGGAAAAAGAACTAATCCAACCAAGGAACAGCACCCCAACTACTGAAATATCCCAAATATCCCTTATAAGTTCTCATTAACTTATGTCTTATGTTGGGATTTAATGGAAGCATAAGAAATGGGGAGACTGCTGATTGCAAAAGAGAGGGTTGTATGGTGAAAGACAGGACACCCATTTCAAGTCTTTTAACTAAATAAATGCAAGAAGACTAGAATTTGGGAGAATTTCTTCAAGTTTCTTTGAAAAAAGAAATCCAAAGCAAATTCTCTTTCCTCCAACTGAATGAGAAGTGGCTAAAAAAAAAAAAAAAAAATCTGGAGGTTGTCTCTGCTGTGCTCTAATTTAGCCTTTAAAGCTCTAAACAAATTGTGACCTGATATCTAAATAACCACTTTCATCACATACATCTCAATCAGCTGACCTCCTGAGCATTTCTTGAGGATTAGACAAGTGATTGCTAAAAAGAAGGATTTTTCTGTGAGGCCTTCTAAGTATGGGAACATCTCTATAGAGATGTTCCAAAAGTGCCATTACTGTAATTTTTTGATGTTAAGCCAAATCATTCTGTTTCATGATTTTAACAGTATTCGGTTTCTTGCTATCACTTTTCATTGGTACATATTTTTTATATGAGCCTACTTCATACATATCAGATTCCAGTGTCTGTCACTTCACCCTGAGCCTATGACTTTTCATTGAATGCATAGAAGGGCAATCTAAATGTGAAAATAGGATGTTTTATTTATAACTTTGCATATTTCCTTAATTTTTTTTTTGTATTCATACACTTGTTTTATATTTATTTTCTTAAATAAATATTGTTGAGAATGAGTTTTCTTCAGTTCAGTGATATACAATTTCAACCACTGCTCTTTGCTTTTGCTAGAAGTAGCTATCTGAGGATTGAAAATTAAGTGTTAATTGGCTGGTGTGGGTCTTCCAGGCTGTGTGGCTGTGTTCTGGAAGTTTTGTTTCCTAATGTT